AGCTTAGATTAGCCATATTTTTTTCTTATGCTTGGAATTTACCGACTTATTCTTACTGTATGAAAAGAATGTAATGAAGTATATATTTTTATTTGGTATTCTAGACAAGAAGCTATGTAAACTATTTATATGTTATTGAGTATCCAACGTAACTAAAATAAATTACAAAATAAACTTATGAAATTAATGTGAGTTTTTTTAACTTCTTGACAATTAAAAACAACGTACGTTAAAATTTATATTTTCGATCAGGTTTTTTGAAATTTAAATCCAAAAGTAATGCAAGTAGTGATATCAAGTTCAACTTACAAATTAATGATTGAATTTAAAATTATGTCAAAGTAGAAGCCAAATTATTAGATATGAAGTTCAAACTTGATATATATATAAGATTTTAAATTAAATAACTACAAGGTTCAAATATTAAGTCCTCTAAATATATTTCACTATGAGTGTTTGAAAGCCTAACTCACATTTAGTTTAATGATGTTAGTCAAATGAATAATTATATTTTGAAAAATTAGTTTAATCTAAAAGATTAATAAATGGCAATTGGGTAATATATTCGAAAGGTAGGGATATGGTCTAGATTCATAACTAATAATTCTGCAAAACTTCCATCAAAAACATAAGATATAATAACTATCAATGACGCAAAAATATATTTTATGGATCCCATACTAAGTAAAAATGTTTGGAAAAACTAAAAGCTAAATAAAGAGAGTCGATTTAAAACATTGAAAAAGGAAGCAATAGATTGAAATTGACATATTTATGTGGTTGAGTGGACATTATTATCAATGTTAACCTAGCCTACTTGTGGGTTTGGAGTCTAAGCAACTTTTACCATAACTATTACAAGACTCTAAAAGTAATATTTATGTCCAATACTTAAAGAATAATTGTTCAATTTACTACATAAACGGATTCGACACACACCCTTTCGAACTTTTTCTTTAGTTTAGAATTTAAGTTTTGTGTAGATTTTGAAAGAAAACAAAAAGAAGTGTTGGTTTGTTTTTGGAGGTTTTGATTTATACAATTTTGAAATAAAAGTTAAAAGAGCAAATAGAAAAATAGTTTAATTATTGTTTTTGCTTGAAATTGACAAAAAATAAATCTTTCCATAATTAGAGAAAATAGTTGATACCTTGATTGGATTCTACTGTTAGCCGAAAATGTAAACATAAACAGAACTAACAATGTTCTTTTGCTATTGTTACTTTTCATTATCTGATTATTTCATAAATGTTAATTTTTTATTTTCAAAATCGAAAATAGAAGTTTACTCATCTTACGAGAAATTGCTTTAATTTATTTCGTATTAAAGTACATACGTAGAAATTAATTTATGGTAACAAAAATGTAACAAGTTTGAAATATCAATATATCTGATTAAAATAATATTTTAAAAACACATATTTTAAGCAGTTTTAGAGATTGAGACACAATGACTCCACACGTCATCCCTCTTCTTCAAGTATTGTGTTTCACGGCCAACTAATGATGGTCTGTCAGCAATATATTTAATGAGATTATCGTGACACACTTTTCCTTCTTGGACAAGATCGTGGCAACAAGACTCAATGAGGGTTCCGTTTCCAAAAACAACAGCGATTATATTCAATGCACACTTAGGAGTGATTTTAACCAGACAAGTGTCCCATAATGTTTTTGCTTCAGTTTCTTCTACTGAAAATGCAGGAACAAACGCACACACCAATGCTACAACAATGAATAGCGCAGTAACATGGGAACTTAGATTAGCCATATTTTTTTCTTATGCTTGGAATTTACCGACTTATTCTTACTGTATGAAAAGAATGTAATGAAGTATATATTTTTATTTGGTATTCTAGGCAAGAAGCTATGTAAACTATTTATAAGTTATTGAGTTTCCAACGTAACTAAAATAAATTACAAAATAAACTTAAGAAATTAATGTGAGTTTTTTAACTTCTTGACAATTAAAAACAACGTACGTTAAAATTTATATTTTCGATCAGGTTTTTTGAAATTTAAATCCAAAAGTAATGCAAGTAGTGATATCAAGTTCAACTTACAAATTAATGATTGAATTTAAAATTATGTCAAAGTAGAAGCCAAATTATTAGATATGAAGTTCAAACTTGATATATATATATATAAGATTTTAAATTAAATAACTACAAGGTTCAAATATTAAGTCCTCTAAATATATTTCACTATGAGCGTTTGAAAGCCTAACTCACATTTATTTTAATGATGTTAGTCAAATGAATAATTATATTTTGAAAATTTAGTTTAATCTAAAAGATTAATAAATGGCAATTGGGTAATATATTCGAAAGGTAGGGATATGGTCTAGATTCATAACTAATAATTCTGCAAAACTTCCATCAAAAACATAAGATATAATAACTATCAATGACGCAAAAATATATTTTATGGATCCCATACTAAGTAAAAATGTTTGGAAAAACTAAAAGCTAAATAAAGAGAGTCGATTTAAAACATTGAAAAAAGAAGCAATAGATTGAAATTGACATATTTATGTGGTTGAGTGGACATTATTATCAATGTTAACCTAGCCTACTTGTGGGTTTGGAGTCTAAGCAACTTTTACCATAACTATTACAAGACTCTAAAAGTAATATTTATGTCAAATACTTAAAGAATAATTGTTCAATTTACTACATAAACGGATTCGACACACACCCTTTCGAACTTTTTCTTTAGTTTAGAATTTAAGTTTTGTGTAGATTTTGAAAGAAAACAAAAAGAAGTGTTGGTTTG